ACTATTTCCATAGAAACACCTACATTGCATGAATTTAATGAGATTAAGTCACAATTCAATCATTTTATCCATGTTTAAGTCATGTTTGTGAACCAAATAAGTGTGTAAAAACATACTTATCAGGGAGACTCACGAACTTCGTAGTACTGGGTCAGTACTGTGCAAGCCAATGTTGTGTCCCCCTCCACTGCCTGACACCTGTCCCTCACCTAAAACCACGACTTCTTCCACCCCTTGATGGAAGAAGGTGGCCCCACCACAAATAGTGCGTGAGCCCCCCAAGGAGTTAAATAAACCACCCCCTTGACTCCTTACCTATCACTCTAGGTTGGAACAGGATCATGAAAACGTGGAGAGGCATGTCCTCTCCAAGTGACACTTCCTTCCACAGGAAGTACGAGCCAACCAACTGGCTCCTTCCATTTGGTAGAACCTGGGTCGGCGACAACATAAAGTTCCTCAGCACCGCCCTAAAGAAGGGGTGCAAAGGAAGATGCATATGTGCTTTAAACATGTATTCACTCATCGCCATGCATTCAGACCTCGGATAGAGGTGCGCTCATGAGCCTCGGATACCAACATTTTCACATAATGAGGTACACAGTACCTCTCCCTGATCTCCCCCAGCCTCTTCAAAGTCATATTTGAAGGCACTCTGGACGCCCCCCATTCCTCACTATAATCTACTGGCTCCTCGGTCATAGCACATTGCTCGACCTCGAGGTCCCTTCTGTGACTCGCCCCCTCGTCGAATGGCACAACAGTTACTAACTCTCTACCCGAGGTGGACTCCATATCAGAATGAACTCAATGCAATGGATTTTCTGTGAAAATACCTATGGAAAATGACTATGCAAACTGAGTAACGTTGAAAAACTAGAAGATTGACCGTTTGGACGCCGAAAAACTTGAGTTTTTAAAAAAGAAATCAGATTGCAAAAGTTAAAAATCCAAAAAAATGGGGGTCTCTCGCCTTTTATAAAGGGCTAGGACGAACCCCAGTCGTCTGATTAAAGCCCATTGAATCTTAACCCTTCATTTTAAACCAAATTCGAGGTGTAGAATTCAAACGATTTTTCAAACCTATGCTTCAGATTCAAGCGTGTCGTCTACGCACCTCCTCGTACGCGTCTGTTTCTAGAAGCTCCAGCTGTGCTCATAATTACGACTTTAATTCGACGGCAAACAGACGCCTTGGAAATTGAACGATCCAGCCACCTTTGCTCAAAAATATGCATAAATCATCAAATCATTGGCACAACTGCCGAGGAACAATCATTACTAATAAGCGTCAGAACTCAGCCTCAACAAGCCTCGCAGGTTCGGGTTCTCAACTACCTCGGCTTCCTCTTCACAATTCAGCCATTAAGCCTCACAGGTTCGGTTCTTACCCACCTCGGCTCCTCATCAGAAATCTGCCTCCACAAGCCTCGCAAGTTCAATTCACAACCACCTCGGCTTCCTCTTCACAATTTAGCTATTAAACCTCGTAGGTTCGGGTTCTCAACCATCCTCGGCTTCCTCATCACAATTCAACCATTAAACCCCACAAGTTCGGTTCTCAACCACCTCGACTTCCTCATCACAATTCAGTCATCAAGCTTCGTAGGTTCGGTTCTAAAACCACCTTGGTTTCATTATTTTTCGTAACAATTTTCATCATTCTTCCACAACGGCACATTTCTAACTCCAACCATGATATAAATATCTATAATTGGACTTAGGAGACTATTATTTGGGGTACAAAAATCTCTTTCAACCTAATCGGTTGGCCTTACTTCATCAAAGGCATCACATTACATAAATGATTATACTTGAATTTGGGGGACTATTGTTACGTGTTTGCACACTTGGGCAACGCGCCGGGGCCCACAGCCAACTTATGCCGAACCACGTGACACTGAAGTCGAGGTGGTTTGGATAGCCGAGGCCCATATATACTGAGGCCCAACTATCATTGCCTCTTGAGGAGCTTTCGGAACCCATATGTCGAGGCCCTTTGAAGGTAGATGAGGCCCTGTTGGACGAAGCCCTGTAGCCGAGATAGCAGTATTCGAATCACAAAGCAGCATCTTCCATAGACGCTTCTCCCAAGAGATCCTCTACACAAAGATCTTACTTGAATGATTGATAGGACGTTTGTCATGAGTGTAATGTTAAGTCTTGTCACTAGTAGAGGTGACTCTGCCAATCAATAAATGTATAGCAGGTTAGGTGCGTCTGATGCCTACAATTTGACGTGTAAATCAACAGGATGAGGCCACGTGTACCCCAAACCAAAGGTCACGATCTAACTTGTGACACTATAAGTACTCCCCCATGTACCCATACAAAGGCTAATGCAAGAATCAACACAAAAAACCATACTCAACTCTCCTTTTCTTATTATCTTGCAACACAAATGAGTTCATACACATTTAGATACACGTTTACAAACATCGACTAGTAATTATTGTACAATCGGTCTACGAACATCTCTCCGAATTCCGAACGTTCTTGTCCCGTATCGTTGAGCTACTCTCACGCCTTCAATCCGTCCGTTTTAGACCGTACACGTGTTTTAGCGTGTTAGACTTTCGCTCACGTGTGTGCGGGTAGATCCGGCACCTGTTGGCAACACTTTTTGGAGTCAACAATAATAACTAAAAATAAAACTAGGTACCGATTGTATTCCATGGGAATGACCAAAGAAAAGATCCCCTTTTTCCTCTTAACACAATCCATCCCCTCGATTTCAATAGATTTCTTTTACATTTTCCGTCAAGAATCAATGAATTTTTTTTAACTTTATTCGTCCAAAAGTATTAGTAACTTCTTAAAAGAAACAATAGTGAAATCGAAAAATGTGTATTATAAATGTTTGTTTGAAATTAATATTTAACTCTTGACCGCAAAGAAAAAAAAGAAATCATTAGATTTTTCAGAAAACATGAACAAACGCAAAATCGATTAAATACATTCTATGCTGGGTAAATGGGTAAATAGTGCAAGTGCTGAGTACTCCATATAGCGGAAGCATTAAATTTTTTTCCACAATTGGCTAGAGATTCCTGCTAATATACACGTGTGCGTGTTTGTGAAACCATGATTTTAAAAACATAAATTATTAGGTTAAAATAAGGAAAATTAGTTTGTATAGAAATGAGTTTGACAGAAATGTTACAAATCTCTCACATTGGGGGTGAGCCGCATGTAAATAAAATAGTGCAAAAAAAAAACCCACCCCAACTATGTCTTATGTGTACAAATTCTATGAACCGCCTTCTGTACACGTAGGGGAATTTAGAAAATAATGTGTAAAAATAAAGCACGATTTGAGGTTATTACTAATAAGAAGTAGAACTTGTTTGATTTACTTAAAAAGTCGATAAAATTTTAAATCAAAATAAATAAATTTAACCAAATATTACACAGACTCACAATTTTATTCAGCTTTTTAATCATGCATTTCATTAACTTTTATTGAAATTTAGTAAAATTCTAATTTCCGTAAAATAAACTAGAGGCTTATAAGTAACCAATTAGGTTTATGACGAAATTTAGAAATCGATCATTGATCCAATTTGAGTACCTCTACAGGATAGGCCTCAACAGAAAACTGAAGTTTAATGATAGCAAATGATTGAGTTTTGTAATTCCTCATAAAATTATCAACTCTAAATATAGTAATATAAAAATTCAAATTGGGCAGATTCTTTCATTTTCGTACGTGCAAACAAAATGGATTAAGATTACAAAAATAATCATTTTCTTTACAATCTTATCTTATTATGATAAGAAAGCGCTATTTCATTTCATTATCAGAGTCCCAATTTTGGCATTGCTTGACAAGAGGATAAAATATTCATCCAATCTCCCATACCAATAATGAAAAGAAGAATCACAGCCCATAACTCCCTCTTATCATTTGAACTCTTTTAACTGATATGGAATACGAAGGCTTCTCGTTAAATTTAGGGTGAACATGAAAACTCGTCAAATTGAATTGAAATTGTGACTCAAAATCATTAGTTTGGGCTCATATTAATCCATCAATGTTTCAAAACCGAATTAGCTAAAAATAGCTAGAAACTAAACCGAATTGTTACCTAAGGTATATCTAAAAATTGGCCTCTCATACCACTTCCTAAAGTCCACGAAGAAATGGTTAATTCACATACAAGGTGAAAGATAAGTCTAAAGATCCATGTATATGTAAATGATATGATTATCGAGCTCGGCCAGTATGCCTGCGATACATGTATGATCCACCTTAACGAACCTGCTCATATCACACTCAACTTACCTACCATTCAGTTAACATAAAGAGATAAAAATAAGTTTGACCCTACACTTCGATGTTACGAACTGCCATTTCAAAAGTTCGTCAAACTATCATTCGTCGGATTCTTATCTGGAAGAAACCAGAACTGTAATGCTTCAGGACAGCAGTACCCATCTTAAGGAGAACACACAGAAGTATGATAAATGCCAGTATAACCAACATATTCATCACTTGAAACAGTACTATGTTCAAATACAAGACTTCTAAGAAACAATGGGAATATCAGGTGAGTTGACCATGCTTGCTGCTCAGAAACAGCACGATGGCCGAGCTAACTGACCATGCATGCTTACCGTTTTACAAATTTTGAAGGAACATTGAATTTAATTGATTATAACATCCCCAAATAATGAAATTAATTTCCACTGCAGAAGACACATTCCTGAAAAAGTAGCATCATAGCCATTTTACTATTCCTAACAGGAAGAATTATCATAAATTTCACTTATCATCAACATCAACCAAGAAAAGCAATTTTCCAAGGTTAATAAAACATTAATTGCAAGATTAAGGAAGATATGCGCATCTCAAAATTTTTGAATTGTTCAATTCAATCATCTTCTGTCAGTATACCAAAAATATCATAAACGCCAAAGAATAATGGAATCTACTAATTAATAACAAATTGCACAAACTATTAAGTAATGCATCAACTTGGATATTGTAAAACACTATGTTCAATGAAAATAATAATAATAATAATAACCCATCAACCTTTGTTTACTTTATTCCCATGAATAAAAACAAAACTATGAACAATTACAATCAGAACTAAACAAATCAGCATTCCCAAAACAACTAAATTTATCTTTCATACCATCATTTTACCAGAAGAAATTCAACTTCTCGATCAAATTCCTTATTCATCCAAGCTGGTGCATTGTACAACTAGATTAGTAGTAAATCCTTCACAATTAAACCAGTTCCTGTCAGCAAGTCACAAACCCCTTCAAACTCCAAAGAACTGCAAATTCAATCAAAAATGGCATCAAACCCAATTCAAATTCATTAACTTCTGTAGAAATCAAAAACAAGAATTCACCCTTTTTTTTTGGCCTACGGAGCAGCTTCAGTGACTTTGTACATATCAGGTGTAATTTCTGACAACCACAATCCTGGAAATATTGTCTGCAGAAAACCCATTGAAAAAAGGGTTAATGAAATAGTGAAAATTACACAATGATTTAAAAAAAAAAAAATGAAATCCCTCTACACATTCTGTAAAAGTAATCAGGAATTTGATTAATTGAATTGCAGTGTTGAATTTGATTAGACTTACATCCAATTCCTTCTGAACGATCTTAGCCCTCTTTTTAGGTCTGCGCGGGGGCCTGTGACCAACCATTGCAATGAAATCCTGTTCGATCTCTCTTCTCAGAAGTGGCACCGAAAATTTAGCTCTCTCTCTCTTTTCGCCGCTAGGAGATTCTGCCGCCGCCCCACTTCTCAGCCACGGTGACTTGATATCGCCAGTAGCCGGCGTCCCCGTCGATGAAAGCAACGCACTGGGTTTCATTACATCCACCGTCAAAGCCTTCATACTATCGGTGCCGCCGACAGAACCAGTTAATGGCGCCTTACACGCAGCTCGCCTTGTCCGCAAATTCCACGGCGTGAAACTGCCGTCTGCCGCAACCGGTGGCGGCGGAGGGGGTGGCGGAGGTAGAGATGGAGAAACGAAAACCTCGCCTTCCTCAAGACTTTCCGTGAAAATCTGGTGTTTCATCTGTTCAGCCACCGCCTGTAGATCGAATATCACCTTCTCTCTCACCTCAGCAATCCCATCATCATCATCACCGTTTTCAAATATCCGGCCACCATCGAAACTCTTCGCCGCCTGAGTGGGACCCAACTTGTGGGATCCATTACTCTCCATCTGTTTCTCTCTGGTTGTACGCCGCTGTTGGTGCTGATAATCAGAAGAATCGGAATCATTCGCATTGAAGCGGCGGAGGTTTGAAATTTGGCCATTGGAGCTGACCTTCATGCATCGGAGGTAGCGCTGGCTGCCCCAGCGCAGGCTGCAAGGCATGGTGAAATTGTGCAAAGCCTTTGATCTTTCTGTCCCCATTACCATATCTCGATATTCACTCACACATTTATACAGACAATAAAGAAAAGGGCTACGGTTTCTCTTCTTTGATCTTGATCCTGTGGGAAAATAGCCGGGAAGGAGAATTTGGCTTATATAGGGGTACGGGTAGGGTTGGAAGTCGAAGGTTTCGGTTTTCTTTTCTGGTTTGGTTTAACGTTCGGATTTGTTTTGAGTCACTCAGTGCTAAGGTGCGCCATAGCGTGATGGGAGCCATCGAAAGCAAAATGCGACTCTTTGTCACGTTAGTCATATAAATGCGATTTTAATTTTATTATATGAGGTGTTAAGGTATAAACTTCGGTGCCTTGAAAGTTTCGTTTTAATTTAATATTTTTTAAACGGTGTCTTACGAATTTGTCTTCTTCCTATTTTTTTCCCCCCGCCCCC